GCGTACCTAGCCTAATTGGCCAGAATTTTAGAAAGCGGGATGCATGCCTAGGTAATTAGTCTGTAACCGTAAAATCGCTGCAGTCTACTAGGCACTAAAGACTTACGCTTAACGGACGACCCGGAATGGAGCCGGCGGTTCAACTGCGTTTATCAACTATCGGACTTCGGCAATGATAACGTCACGTCTCACAGGAGCCGTTGCCAACGACCCAGGGATTGGCCACCTCTCCAATAATCAATGTTCGCTGTCTCCAATTGAAATGCAATGGTCAAAAGGTCATTACGTATGCGCAAACCCTCAGCTTGTCTATATGATAAGTACTTGTCTTTTCGGAATGTTGCATGAGCTGCAGTGACATGCACAATATGTACCTGGTGAGATGACCCCTTGAGAAGTCAGAGGTACATAAAAATGTGAACAGACTGGTGGAGTTACCAGCGGTTGTGAAATGCATGTAAATCTGTTTCAGTGCTTGAAGTCATGAATACCACGATAAAAAGCGCGCTGCCTTTGGTCAAACTACTTAATCTCATAGTGGGGCTGATCTGTTAAGAAACATTAAGTTGTCAAGGCGCTTTTGCTTCGTCAGTACTTTTAGTTTGGATAAAGCACGCATCCTAGAATTAGCACTAGTACGTTCAGTTACAATATTAATTACAGAACAGACTGGAGCGGGTTGTGTACCTTCAGTTTCCTTGTTGGCCTCAAAAGCAGGTTCCCACGCACTACTTAAATGTCCCCATATTTGTAGGTAGTGGGTGTTGCACGCCCGAAAACACTGCATGAAGCTATGATAAAGCTAAGATTATACATATATTTTACTGGATTAAATAATGCCGTTACAACCGCAATTAACCTCAGATTACGTATAACTTAGCACTTAAGTTGAGTCTGATGATAACGAACATTGGGTAAATGTTGCACGCCTTCACCGTCAAAGATAGTTCATGACGCAGTGTTTTACATGCATTAAGCTGCGTCCACATTTTCCGTTGCTCGTTTTCAAACAACCTGAAGTTTCTGAAGACCGCCTTGCTTAACGTTTAACCATCAACCAGTTTGGTGCATCTGCCCTGAAGGAGTATTAAAAGTATTTTGCAACGCAGTTTAGTGAGTTATGGAAGAAAGTAACCCATGTACCAAACCTGTATAGTTCGGTTTCTTCTCGTTTTGTGCAATAAAGCGGGACTCCAAGAACAGGGTTACAGAACTATTTCAAGTTCGGATGAATCGGCGGGTAATTGGTGGGCCAGGAATACACAATGAATTCACTGGATCAGTTGCCGGTGTACCATAGTTGTATGAATTACGAAAAATCCTCACGTGGCTAACTTGTTGAGCTAAATGAACTGTGTAATGATTTGTATATATGTAGAGAACGTCGCCATAAAGATAAACGGTCAAACTTTAAAGCCACCTTGGAATTTAGACTGGGGACAATCAGGTAGAATTAATGGGATCGATTACTGACATGCACAGAATCAGACCAGACAACAGTCTCACACAGAAATCGATTTGCGAACAACTGAAACAGTTACATCTTTATAACTGAATCAAAGTCCTCAACACTCCCACTAGTGTCCAGAGCTAACACAAAGGAGTTTGGTCCGGCTCAAACCGATTTTGCTGATCCGGAGTATAAAAAGGACCGCCAGTGGAAGTCAGTTTGTGGCGGCAGCAGCCTGCGTAACTTACACCTCATTAAATCATCGCATATGAACATTTGGAATTGAATAATAGGTTCAGGGGAGTGCAAAATTACTGTTACTAAGGTTGCAGAGGAAAGCATTCTTTGTACCACATGGATAGCCTTTGAGTTGTGGCTCCTCCTATCGGCAGCTGAGCCATAGTGAAGCAGTGGTTCATCATTTCAGACCTTTAAAAAATAGTTATTTCCGAACTTCCCTGAACACATGACTTTCCGATCGGTCCCACGTAGCAAACCTCGTGTCGGCAACGGTTCACATGTTTGTCACAAGCTCTCGAGTATTGCTGCTTACTAGGTGGACTGAGACAAGATAGCATAGTCAAACAAATATATAAGGCAAAAGTATCATTGAGTGAATTGCATTTGTCGAGGTGTTATTCATCTCCGTCGTAATAAAGCAATGGAGCAACCTACATTGAGAAACGTTGAGACAGACGAAGCTGTGATGATACCAGTGTGGGGTTAGTATGTTTTGCCTAAATCTTTCTCCTAAGACGAAACAACGAGTTTTTCAGTCGGTTATAAGCAACCGAGTTGGATTCAGCCGTTTTCATTGGAACACTCGCATGTACGCATAGTCTGGCAAACACGACCACAACCATGGCCAAGAAGTAATGTCGGGTCCACATATGATGTTCAGTTTATTCAACAACACCCATTAAGTGGATGGTGTAGGATGATGGGAAAGGACCAATACCTCCCGCCGATCATTTACTTATATTTGCATCGATTAGAAGACAGGCGAACGGAAGTGGCGACCATTTTTACCACTAACACAAAAGTTGTAAGTAGCCTTTAATCAATCAGAGTGCATCCGTGCAATTTATCCAAGATAATAGCAGAGAACCCCTAGAGGATTAATTCTGGTCATCCTGCTATCGTCATTTACGGTGAATTCAGCAAACTTCCTGTCATTTCATAGCAATCGAGTCTACTTTTCAGTTCCAAGTATTTTTTTAGAATGAAAGGCTTTGTTGTGTAACATGTTGCCGGCCAACCAGTTTTCATCCATTGAACGAAAGGAATATGTGGATGGCAATGTGTGTCTCATCTGACCAGTGCTCAGATTCACCAGTCCTCTTCAAGTTGCTAATCCCTACGACTTGGCCTTCGTCTAGGCTTTGGCTAACCAAAAGGTATCCCTCGCATGCTACGAAAGATAGCGATAACGGATAACCATGTAGAACTAAATACGTTCTCTTTGTAAAACGCCAGCCATCGAACATGTTGTCTAAACTGTTCACAGTACATCAAACCTTGTAATCCCCTCAAGCAGCTGGTGGTGAAAGACAGTTGATACATTATTGCCACAGCGGTTGTCAACCCAATACGAGGATAATGTCCATGAGTGAAAAGGTGGCCACACTTTTGCATCCTAGAAAAGGCATCCGGGGACAGTATATTCGAGCCTAAGTCTCCACTATACACAATTAGTAATAAAATGAAAACAGTGGTATATTATTCTACGATCTGAGACGCAGTTACGTTTTCTGGGTTCTTTTTGACTTACTGAGATTCGGGCCAGCATCAAAGAAACATCTAGCTGAATACATACTTGCAAATGTGAGTAGACTCAAGCATAGACCGGCTTTCGTCAACACTCCAACGAAAGAGTTGTTTGTTCACCACTGGAATGTATTATTTGTAAAGCTCAGAAAGAGAAGCAAACACGACGCTTCAAGCAAACAATTGTTCTCGATCACTTCATCCTTAGGTTCATACATTAATAAAAGGGAGAACAAGATTTATCATAATCTTCCCCACAACAATGGATCCATAGCTTAGATAAAATAATTTGTCGTCATGATGCCAATCATCTAGTCACCTGATTGAAGTCAGGTGGTCTTGCAGAGTGCAGTTACTTCCCGTCTGATGGTCGGCCAAGACAGCTGCAATGTCTGTACCATTTTCTTATGAACGCACAAATCGGGGACTCGTTAGCCTTATGCATGCTGCTCCGACAGTGGCAAGTAGGCAAGCTCTTACTCGATGGTTACACATAGGCGCATTATTCTGCATAGAATTGGGAAGGCACTCTATTTGTTTATATGGTGACCGGAGTTGAGTAGGTGGCTTGTCATTGCGCTGTTACTTGCCTTCTCTTGGTAATTAAAGAGCCAAGTTGGGAGGTGTTCGTTGCTTCTCTTACCTAAATGCCTGATCGTGCGTCCAACGTATTTAGAGTCACATGTGCAAGTGAACCGGTAGAACCACATTGGTTGGAGATGTTCAGACACGCGAACATTCAATATGGAAACTACTAAAGTTCTGTTCATGTAAACAACATTTAGTCTCGTACCATTAAAGGCTTTTCTGCAGTTTTGCTTTGGTTTACGTGTGCATAACTCAGCTACACTATATCATTTAAATGAAAATATGAGAAAATGTTGTTTCTTTTCTACCGTTTGTTTCGGCACATTTGGTATGCTTTGCTTCATGTGGGCCTCGATAAAGCGCTTTGCATAGTCATTCTCCGGAAGCTTTTCTTTGCTTCGTTTGAGTTCGGATTCAATGGTGCTTTCGCTGTAGATTTTGTATGCCGATCATTTAGGGTTCGTATCAATGTCTTTGCTTCTGAGTGGAACGAAGCTGTGAAGTCCGGGTTTCCTGTATACTTTTATTTAGATTGTTTTATTGTTTCTTCGGATGGGGCATGCGTCTAAAAAATTCATCCGATTGTCATTTTCTTCCTTAGCCGTAAATGTGGCATTCGGGTGAAGCTTGTTGAAAGTATCGACTATCTGCTGTATTCCGATCATTCATAAAATGTAGATCGTCCACATAAGGCTTGTAGAATTTCAGACCGGAGATAACTTGTTTTAGCGGAGCGCTTTCTAGCGTTCCCATACAGACGTCCGTTAACAGTGGCCCAAGTGAAGATCTCATTGCTCCACCATCCACCTGTCTGTGTAACGTCACTGGATCGGAAGTAAACGGTACATGTATACCTGAGTGCCAAGTGTTTTAGTTGGTTGATTGGTATACCAATGCTTTTATTGTTAGCTGCTCAAATGACTAGGATAGGTTTACTTAGTTCACATCCTGATGTCACGAGTCACTGTTAGAGGTGTGCGCTAGCCGGACAAATGTATAACACATTTAAATTTAAAAACTTTTCCGTTTTGCTAGATATTAATAATTGGACGGCGGCATACTGATGCTATTTGCCGGTCACTTCCTCTGTAACAATGTAGTTATGCTTGACATATCCGAAGGGTGTGTTCTGCTAGATGGAGCGATCGATAATTACTACGCGCCAAGTATGGAGAATGGACAGATTGTAACTCACCTTTACACCTTTTGAAGCGATTGCGTAAGAATAGTTAGAGCTGGGAAGAAAATCTTCCATGGAGTAGTAAAAATTTGTAAGGCCATAAAAAACAACTACGGGGAAATCGATGTCAGCTTGAGGAGTATGTCCGATGGCGCACTGAAATGGTTGGCAATCGGTTTGTTTGTCTAATATTGGATACATAGTTTGTCGGCATGTATCATAGTCGCCTGTGCCCTAAATGAAGGGAGAAAGTAGATAAATAATTAACCACACATTATTAATCGTAATAGTATGATTTGCAAAAGCAGTATCTGGAATAGGTGCAGTATGAGTGGACATATTACGACTTCATAACAGCTTTGAGTAAGACATCGAGTAAGATAACATGACTCCAGTTAGTTAATACGACCACAGGAGTAAAATGGCCAAGGTAGACCAGCCAACTACTGAATGAAAATAGGACATTCTCGGATAAGTCCAGAAATCGTGCTTCTCTAAAATGACGAGGCGAGTTGTGTTCGCTTTCATGTGAAACGATGCAAAAGTGCTGTCTGACTGAAGTGAAGTAAACGACTTTCATCACTGCTTCAGGTAGCCACACTTGCCAATTCGAATCAGTGTGATCTCCTGGGTCATCTGACCGTTCAATCCACTTGTATCTTGTTAACACGTAGAATATGAATGGTGGTTTGTCATGCCGGTTATGCTAGACGTATGAACGGTGCACACAGGTGCCTGGCCAAATAAACATACTCGTCACCTTTAACTCCTTTGGTGCAAAAAATAAACAACAAATCAGCTGACTTGTCACCGCGTACATCGGGACACGACACTGAAGATCAATAGCGGAGAGCTAGGTATGCTTATCCTCAGCTTGCAATGTTAGGTTGAAAATGGTGGATGCACCGATAAGGCCAACAAACTTGTTAACGAGTAGCGTACAAAAGTGGGGTCAAAGGCGACACAGCTGCTTAGCATTGATACATGTCTTCGACCATTATTGTGCCTCTTTGGAGAACCTGTAGGAATCATCTCATTTACATGCTCATTAAAAGCAAGTCTAAGCCGGTGCAGTGAATTGCGCAGTTAGCCTACGCATAAGCAGGTAGGGGTCAGTTTAGAACTCCCCATCTACTCCCCTTCAGTTTGTCAGGTGGAGTTGAAATGACAATTACAAACCATGGCGAATGTGAAGACAAACATGAGATGATTATTTATAAGGACAGACTGCGAGATATGTCAAACGGAAGCTTTTTCCACTTTGCACAATTACCCCACATCAAGAGACGAAACATGTGCACAACATTTTCCAACATGAACTATCATTCGCACTGTTACCAGACAGCAGCTCACTCGATTTCCCTTCATAAGGTGACCCTGTACCAGGGGTCACCAAATTTTTTATACAGAAGGTCGGATAACGGGAAAAAATAATTGACGCCGTCCGGATAACTGAAAAATGGTTAGCGTGGCTCGCATAAGCATTATGCACAACAGTTGCAAACCAGAACGTAAACTCAGAGCAAATAGACAAAGAAAACGTGACACTCGGTGCTCGCTTTTGTCTTCTTAGTAGCCCAAGTGACGGGTGAAATACAGGGGATCTGAACAAGAACATAATATTGAATTATATATTATATATTATTATTATATTATATATATTTTTTCAACGGTCTGCGAATAGACATAAGGCCATCAGAAACTATGGGACGCAAAAGAAGGTACAGAAACAGTAAAAGAAAACATAACACAAAACATCAAAGCCCATAGTCTCGTCGGAGGGCGACATACTATCTGATTGCCCAAGCTGAAGTAGGGTGTTGACTTAAGGGACACCACCCCGAGCCTTTGGCTGAATAGTTTGCACGCAAGGCAGCGGAGCGAATTCAGGGAATCGCGCCCATTGGTAGCCGGTGACTGATTGCTCAGTTCATCCGCCTTTCGGTTGTTCCTTTGCAAACAGGGGCCCAATGCTCCCCAGGATATCAAATTACAAAAATAAGAAACACCTATTGTAAACACCGGAAAACAGGGGCGTTGTTATTATTGGTGGAACTACAGCTCACCATGGTACACGTAAAGTACGTCGGCAATTTCCGTAAGAGAACATACCATATGAGAATGCATATATATATATATATATATATATATATATATATATATATATGCAAGCGGAGACGCGCTTTGAAGACTTGAACAAAGCGGTTCCACCAGAGTCAAATCAACAAACAGTGGTCGGACCAGATACCCGTGCTACTTACAGGCATTTAACATCACAAATTTTACGATGTACAAAAATTTGCGGTTTTCGATCTATTCCATAGGTACCAACCTAAAATTGTTTCCAACTACCTAACAAGGATGGCTTCAAAGTGAAATGCATGAACTAGCGGAGTATTATTAAGCGGCTAGTTATGTGACCCAACGTTCAGTGGAGCTGTGAGGTAAGCACAAACACGACAAAATGCACGGAGGGATGGGTTACAGGTGTGATCACTTACATCAATGTCCCAAGGAGGTAATACGGTGTCACCAGTACAAACTATGAGATAGCTCACGCAAGTGTTCCAACGGTATATTGTAATGAACAACACGATACGCAGTGTTGAATGTAAATGGTATTACAGGCTCTCGTGTTTAATACGCTTTACTAAGCAAACTCGGGCACAGCCGGCGAGCAGGATGAGCTGACGTCACGGGCCGGATCCGGCCCGCGGGTCGTAGTTTGGTGACCCCTGCTCTCTACCATAACTGTGAGAGAAAGGGATGCAATTGGGTTGCAAATCTGAAATATTTCATCCAAGCAAGGATGTTAACATGCTTACTTGTGTGAAATGGTCGCAGCCATCTAGGCAGCAGATAATTAAAAGGTGCCGTCTTAGCATCACTACCGCCGCACTCACGTTCTTCACTGTGATACTAAAAAGCATATCGTGTGAATGCATTGCTTCGCAAAGAGGAGTAAAAACGAACAAACAACGGTGTTGAAAAATGCCAGTATTGCAGAATCCCAACACGGTACTCCTATACCGGCTTTGATGTTGTTTAGACTCTGCAGGAACAGTAAGCCGGAAGTGAGAGTGGAGTCGAGTGCGCATTGGTGCATGTCCAATAGCCTGGCGGCTCGGCTACCCAGCTCTCCAGTTAAACCCGCCAAAACCCACTGTCTTGTTGCCTAGTAGTACCTGTTCTGTGATTGGATCTCGACACACAGTCCTAAATTTGACTCCGACTTGCATTCAAGTGCAATTTAGACATTTCGATCCTTGGGTTTGTATCTGGATTTATCGACGGGATATTTGGTGTTGCCATGTCTAACACGGCGCTTGAGGACATACAAAGCAGATATCCAAAGTGCTTGGCACTTATGTCAGTAAAGATGGGTTATAAAAACAGGATGGTAACACCACGTTTGAGCACAAATTTTCTTAGAGGTTTGGACCAGTTGATTCGGTAAATTGGAACTATACTAATACTTAGCTGCAGGAACTCGGAGCACGACTGTACGCGAAATGATCTGTGACTAATTCAGCTAACTAGATACCTCCAGTAATTAAATGTTAATAAGTGCGCTACAAATATGCTTATTGCATCTCAGAACAACAGATATAATGCTGAGCGGGAACGATCTTGGCCTATTGATTGTTGTTTACCGCCCACCATTGTCCGCTCCTGAGATGGACTGCAATTTGATGGCTGCGTTGAGGCAAGTGATAAATAGAAAGTACAGTCACATTCGACGCACCGGTGACTTCAACTTACATGTCCTCGAATCCCGGGCCATACCAGGAGAGCAATCCAAAGCAGATTCGCAAGATCTGGTTTCAGACTTCCCGCTTTATGGCCACGTCACTACGCCCACCAGGTTCAGGGGAACTGACAGGCCATCCATGTTGGACCGAATATTCACCAATGAAGAACTGATGGTCGAGAGAGTGATAACCAATACTCCTTTGGGCCGCAGTGATCATGCGACAATAGTGTTTCATTACATGCGCTACGCGGATTATCCTAAAGAGCATGCCGAGGAATATCATGTCCCAACCAACTATGACGACCTGTCCGACCTAATTGATGCAACCCGATGGTCGTACTTAGCTAAATTAACCCCTGAGGTGGCCTGCGGAGAATTCGTCAACATATTTACCAAGCTCGTGGCAAGGACATTTGAAACCAAACTCTGCTGGCCTAAAAGGATGAAGTCATTCGTAAGGAGCAGGACACGTAAATACGTGGCATTAAGGGACTAGACATGGCACACCTACATAGCCTCCCCGAACGACCATACCTGGAATGTCTACACAATACAAAGAAACCATTGTGTCAAACTAATCCGGGAGGATAAACTTAAGAACCAACAAGGTCTAGTTGCAAAGTTGTGCTCTAATCCCAAACTGCTATACAGACACGTAAACAATTTGCGCCGTGTTAAGCGCGGTATTCCTGCTCTACACACAGCATGCGGGTTAGCCCAAACCGCACAAGAGGCGGCCAACGTTCTTGGACAACAATTTGGCCGTACCTTCCATAGCGCGCAATCATCATACATCCTGCCTAAGCAGATAACGCCGCTATCAGGGCTTACTCACATATCGTTCACCTCCGCAGCTGTACTGAGGAGACTGATGTCTCTGCGCGAGTTCTGCTCCCCAGGTGCGGACGGCATTCATCCGAAGGCGTTGAAAGTTGCTGCCATGAATTTGTCAGGACCACTAGCAATTTTCTTTCAACGATGTCTGAACGAGATGCACGTCCCCACGATGTGGAAGTAAGGAATCATCACGCTTATCTACAAAAATCGCAGTCGTGCTGAACCAGCAAATTATCGCCTGATCACACTACTTCCTGTGATCTCCAAGGTTATGGAGTTCATTGTATCTGAGGCTTTGATGGGGTACCTAGAGAACAACAAAATTCTCGTTCCGGAGCAACATGGATTTTGCCAAAATCACTCCTGTACCACTAATCAGTTGATTGCTAGTGCAAGCTGGACGGAATCTGTGGACGCTGGTGTATTAGTCGACACGGCCTACTTGGATTTCTCAAAGGCATTCGACCGTATAGACCATCACATTCTCCTCCACAAACTCCAGAGATATGAAATCGGGGATCCTGTTCTGAGCTGGATAGGAGACTTTCTCGTTCAACTTCACCTGAATGTGAGGGTTAGAAGCAACCTGTCGGAATCCATCGAAGTTCAGTGCGGCGTACCTTAAGGCTCGGTACTTGGACCC